TCGTCCATCTTAACCTTTAGCCTGCTCCCTTCTCTCCTTCTCGCGTTTAACACCCTCCATTTATCCTCCTCGCTTCTCATCCTCATTGTCACCAACATTGTCAGCCATTCTCCTCTCAGCTCTATCACGCTTACTTCCTTTACTTCTACCCTTATCTTCAGGCCCTCTGTAAACAGCTGCTTCACCTTCTCCCAGTTCGTTCCCTTTCCTATCCATCTGTTCTTCTCTATCCTTATTATCACGTTTTTCTTCCTTCTCTCGTCATCATTCTTCTCATCGTCGTCGGACCACCATTTCCTTTCCTCTAGCCTGCCCCTGCTCTTTTCGCTATCGTCTCTCTTCCTTTTCCCTGTGCCTTGTTCCAGTCTACGTACTTTTCTTCTTAATCTCTCAATCTCCTCTCTCTAATCCTTTATTTCTTCCTTCAACCCACTCATTATCTCACTTGTTTGTTCCTTTATCAACTTCTCCAGCGTCTCTTTCTCTACTATCACCTTAGCTCTGCACTCCATTCTTTCCCTTTGTCACGTACTCTCCTTCTCTCTGACCTTATCTGTAATTAAACGATTATTCTTACCATCTACCAAGTAACTTCTTTTCTTTTCTCCTCTCTCCGCCCTGCCTCATCTCCTCTATCGCCTTCATCCATTCTTCTCTCTTTTCCTTTTCGTCCAATATCCTCCCTACCACGTCCTGCCAACTCTCTCCATCCCAATTCTCCCATCTTGAACACTCTTCCCAGACATGTTTCCACGTCTCCTCCTTCTTCTCACATATCCTGCATTTTCTATCTTTCTCTTTTCCCCAGTATAGTCCCTCCCTAACTTCGTTGCCTAGTCTGAATCTTGCAATTCTGCTCCATTTTGCTTCCTCCCATTCCTTCTTTAAATAATCCGGAATCCCGTCCTTCCTTATGAACTTATACCACCTATTGTATCTAGATTTCATGATCTTTTCCATCTCTTCGTGTCTTTGCTTCGATTTCTCCTTGTATTCCAATACCTCCTCTACCAACTCCTCCTCCCCTCTAACTTCTACACCAATCCTTTACAAGTAGTCTTTTCTCTTCTGCTCCCATCTGCCTATTATCCTTTTCTTCTTCCATCTGTCTTTCATTTCCTCCAAACATTTTCTCGCTATTTCTTCTCCTTTACCTTCTTTCAGTTTTCTTTCGAACTTCCATGCTCTCTTGCTTGCTCTGGCTTTCATTTTTTCCCTTTCCAGTTCATCTTTAACCATGTACCCTGGGGTCCTCCAATTTAATCCGACTGTCCATCTGAGATATCTCTCGTGTATTCCTTCTACCTCCCTCCTTTCCTTCCATCCCCATATTTCTGCCCCGTATCCCATTACCGTCCATATCAGGGTATCGTATAGCCAGATTCTTCTTTTCCAATTTTTTTTCCACAGCCTCTTTCCTATCCCCCAAATTTCTTTTATTACTCTTGCCGTCTTTCTTCTCTTTTCTTTAATGTGCGCCTCCTGCCCTCCATTCTCCTTCAATGTGTACCCCAGATATTTGAACTCTTTGACCTCTTCTAATTTTTTTCCCTTCCATCTCCAATCATACTTCCTTTTCCTTCCTTTTCCCTTCCTAAATCTCAATATCTTTGTTTTCTCTATACTCAGCGTTAAACCCTTCCTGTCTAAATACCCATCTAGCCTGCTTATCATAGATCTTATGTCCTGTTCCTCCTCCGCTAGTACTGCTATGTCATCTGCATACATTAAAGTGTATATCTTGTCTCCTCTTAATCTTACACCTCCCCATCCACTCTTCTTCATGTAATCCTCTATGTCTGCAAATAGTAAATTAAACAGTATCGGGCTTAGTGGGCATCCCTGTCTTAATCTCTTCGCCGTCCAGAATGAGTCCCCTCTTTCCTCTCCCCTTCTCGCGCTGCTTTTGGTTTCTCTCAACACTTCTTCTACCCTGTCTATCAATCCTTGCCTCACTCCTTTCTCTTTCATTGCCTTAATTAAGACTTTCCTTTTACTGAGTCAAACGCCGCCTTTAAGTCTACAAATAGCACTGTCATCTTCCCTTTCTCATTTCTCAGCTGTCTGTTTATCAGGTAGTTCAGTTCAAATATTTGATCCATCGTCCCCATTTTTTTTTCTAAATCCTGCTTGGTTGTCGGAAATCAAGTTCTTCGTTTCTACTTCTTTCCTTATCCTTTCTGCTAGTACCGCCGTGTATATCTTGTACATTGAAAACATGATCGTTATCCCTCTATAGTCCTTCACCTCTCGACCTTCTCCTTTTTTCACTATTGGTATTATTATCTCACCTTCCTTCTAATGTTCCGGCCAGCCTTCCCCCCTCCATACCCGTTTACATATTTCCCATATCCATCTCACCATCTCTTCTTCTCTAAATTTCCATGCCTCGTTCGGAATTCCGTCCTTGCCTATTGTCTTCCCTGTTTTCAATTTTTTTATTACGTTTTTTACCTCCTCCAGTTTTATTTTTTCCTCTTCTTGTCTGTTCCTTCCTCCTTCTCCTTTCACAACTCTGTTCTCCACGCCACCCATTAGCTCCATGAAGTATTTCTTCCACTCTTCCAGCTTTATCTCTTCGTTTATTCTCTTCCTTCTGTTCCTTACTCTACCTATCCACTCCCATACCTTAACTTCCGTTCTCGCCTCTCCTATTTTTCTGATCATCCTGTCCTTCTCCTCCTTTTTCTTTCTTTCACATACTTCTCTATACTTCTTTCTCCCTTCTCTATATCTTTCCACATCTCCTTTTCCTTTTCTCCATTTTCTAAGTTCTCTCCTCACTTTTCTCTTTCTCCCCTTGCACTCTTCGTCCCACTATCCTCTTCTGTTCTTGTTATCTCCTCTACCCTTCTCTTTTTCGTTCTCTTTTAATACTCTTCTTATCTTCGACGTTTCTTTCTCTATCTCATCCTGCAACTCTCTATTTCCTCCTATCTTCTCTAGCCTCTCACTGAATTGCGTTCTTCCTTCTTCGCTCCATATTTCTCTTCTTCTTATCCTTTCCACCTCTCTCCTTCTCTGCTTTCTCCTTGCGCTACCTTTTATCCATAGTATTAAAGGGTGATGGTCTGAGACTATCCTTTCTCCTATTTCTAGTCTTTCCACTTTTCCTCTGATATCCTCATCTCCTATAATGTAGTCTATAACTGTTTCACCTTTTCCTCCTGTGTATGTGCATTTTCCTTCCTCATCTCCTTTCGTACCTCCGTTTAAGATCATCCATCCTCTTTCTTCGATAAATGTTAGTAGTGTCCTGCTATTCTTATTCATCTTCTTGTCTTTAGATTTTCTCCCTCTCTCTTTCCCTTTTCCCTCGACTTCCTTCTCCCATCCTCCCTCCTCTCCCGTTCTCGCATTAAAATCTCCACCTATTATGGTCCTTACTCCTATTTCTCCCTCCTTCGTGCACTCCTTCAAGCCTTCTAGCTTCTTATCTATATCTTTGTTTACATATACTCCTATTATTCTCCAGATTTCCTCTCCTATTCTTATCTTAATTTCTATTTTTCCTTCTTCCTCTTCCCTCCTTCTTCCCTCCTTTATCTCTTCTAACCCACTCCTTATTCTTACTAACATGCCTCCGCACGCTCTACCTTTTTTATTCCTCCTGTTTGCTATCTGTACTCTCCATCTAAATTCTTTTGGTAACTTTTCTTTCACTTTCTCCCATCCTTTCTCATCTATCCATGTCTCCATCATAACAATTACATCCCACTCCTTTATCCCTTCCTAGAAGTCCTTATCTTTATTTGTTATACCTGCTACGTTCCAGAAGACTACCTTCTACGTCTCCTCCCCCCTCCTGTTTTTTCCTTCCTCTCCCTCTTTATTTTCCTCCTCCTCCTCTCTAACGTCTCCTCCAGTGATTTTCTCTCCCTCCTCCTTTATATTTCCTCCGTTCTCCCTGACATCATCTGAAGCGTTCAGTCTTTCTTCTGATTTCTTTCCCCCTTCCTGTCTCCCCTCTTGTGTTTCCTCCTTCCTTCTCTTGTTTCTTGTGTTTTCCATTTCTTTGTCCTCTTTCTTTTCTTTATGCCTTATGAAAGTCATTCCTCTCCTCTAACCTTCCTTTACTCTCGTTCCATCTCCATTCCTTGTTGTCCTCCCATAGGTTACCCTTTTGGTAACCAATTGTGATTCTTTTTCCTTTCTTTCTTTTCTCCCTTGCTATCTTTCTTATCTCTGTTTGTATCTGTCTTTCCTCTTTGGTGAGATCATCATCCAGAAAACTTCCATATTTAATTCCTAGTTCCTTCTTTTTCTTCATAATGTCTCTTTTGGATTCCCAGTTTTTGCATCTCAGCAACCTTATTTTATTGTCTCTATATCTGTTTGGCGCTCGCCATATAATGTATATATGTATTATAATCATTAGTTTAGTCTCGTTCAGTTTTATGCGCTGTATTTAATCGTCTTTCGAATATCTCTATTTTATGTATCGTTTGATGTATTCCGGTGACTCGCGCGAAACGTCGGCGGATCGCGATCGACGCGGAATCGATATTTGCGCGACTCACCAATCGGTGCTGCCCTCGCTCACGCCGGCAGGGCACCCGCCCGAAGAAGATCAAGTACTCGCTCGCTACACTTTTCCAGCGCCGCGAGCACAGCACTCACTCATCGTCAAGCATTCTGAGAGGACACACCTCTCATCAGACACTCATCGTCTCGACGTCTCGGAGTATAGACGCATATCGCTAACATTCGGAGAACGAGAGATCACGGAGCCCGCTCCCTGATAGTGCGATCGCCTGCTATCTTTCCCTGCTTGCTTGCTCCTTTGGCTTTGCTTGATTTGACCTGCCTCGCCTGCTATATCTGCCTGCTTGCTTGCTGCCTTGTCTTGCCTGCCTTGCCGCCTCGCTTACCGGCCTCGCCTGCACGTGCGGCCCTCGAGCTTAAAGGAAGGACGGATCCTCCAGGAGCCGACGGTACTCCAAACGGTGAGTCGCATTTCGCTTTACTATCTTTCGTTTATATTTTGCTTTTTGGAGACGTTACACACCTCCCCTGGTCCTTCGAGTTCGCTTTCTCGCTAATTCGGGTACGGCTCTACCGCCCCCCGAGCAATATCCTATTTTTTGTATTTCTTCAATGATCCCTTTTGTTTTGTTTAATTCTTTCATCAGTTTTTCGAATTTCTTTTTCCGTTCCTTGTCGTTTCCTACCTTCTCCTCTTTCACGATTATGTTGTTTCTCCTCCTTCTTCTCTCCGTCATCTCCATACTTCTTTCTATCTCCTTAATTTTCTCTATCAACTCCCTGCCTCTATTCTCTTCTGCGTTCTTCACTTCTATCTTCTCTATTTTCTCTTCTAGCTTTTTTACCCTTTCTTCTAGCGCTTCTCTCTGCTTCTCCCATATTTCCTCGCTCCTCTTCAATTCCTCCTTTAATCCCTTAATTTCGTTTTTTATTTCCTTTTTATCTTTTTTTTCCTTCTCTTGTTCCTCCATTTTCCTTAATATCTCCTTTAACAGATCTTCTGCCGCTATGTTTCCTTTACCCTTTTCTTCTTTTTTAATCTTAGCTGGCGGTGATCTGTTGACCCTTCTTGCATCGTTAAATTTTTCAGGAATTTCTTTTTCTGCTCTAGCCGTTTCTTCCTCTATCTCTTTTCTTTTTCTTTTCTGGATGAGATCTTTGACCGATCCTAGGCTGTCCGTTCTTCCTCTTTGTTTGGCAAGCTTCTCCGCCTTTGTAGGCCTGCCTCTTGCTTTCTTCTCCCCTTCGCCTTCTCTTCTCTTTCCTTTATCTCCCTGCTCATCACTCTCTATTCCTATTTCCTTCTCTGTCTCCATCCGCCGCTTTTACCTTTGCCTATTTTTCCTACTCGTTATCTATCCTATGGCTGAAAGCATTTTTAGTAGTTATCCCTTCTATATCCGAACTAGCCTATGCTCGCTTGCGCGTCACTGCCTTCCGTTCTATCGTCCCTCTATATATTACCTCACGTCTATGCCGTAACGGTCACTTCTCTCCCGTCACTTTCCTTACCTTTTCTCCTTTTTATTGTCTCCATCCCTTCTCAACCTTATCACCTCCGCCTTCTCGCATTTCCACACCTCCCTGCTCTGCTGCTCTCGTCCTCTCCAACTCTCCAGACCGTAATTTCGCCACAATCTTTCTCCCTATCGCACGCACACCTGTCAATATATTTGTCATATCATATCATATGTTTATATATAATTATATATGATTATATGTAATTATATATGATCATATATAGACAAAATTCATATATAATTGAATTATATATAATCATATATATTTATATATAATTATATATCTATAATCTTTTTTTCCCGGGGCTTACAATTTAAAAACTTTCTTAAATGTTTTTAAAAATGTATGAAATATAGGGGAAGGTGCTGTACCTGGGAAATACTTTTAAGTTTTTGATTTTTTTGAGCCAGTTTTAATTAAAAAATTTTGAAAAAATATATATATATTATTAAGGTACATATAGATATATATTTTAGTACTAAAAAAACCCAAATTTTTAATACCATCTGGTAAGAGAATACAGCAATTTTTTATAAATAAAAATTTTGTTTCAAGGTACAGTAGCTTGATGTACCTTGGAACACTCTCTTTTGTACCTTGAAACACCTATAAAAAATTTTAATTTGAAAAAAAATAAAGGGCCTAGCGGAGTAAGCATGTGAAATCGGCCCTTGATCATACAGAGCTGACATTAATGTCACAAGTTAGTACCAATATGATAAAACTTTCCACCAAATATTATTTTAAAAAATTCATTTTTTTAGAAGTTATGCAGGGCAAAAGTAAAATAAAGAAATGTATTTTTCTCGAAAACCACTTGACCGATCTTGATGAAAAAAATATATGTTATGTAGACTAATAAAACTAATTAACAAAAAAAAATGTCCAAAATGTTTGCCAAAAAAAAGATCCAAAAAAAATATTTGAATTTTTTAATATTTTTTTAGGGTGATATTTTCGAGGTACCTCTTTGAAATTTTTACGAAAATTTTTCTTAAAGTGTCCACTATAACATATATTTTTTTCAATTTTTTTAAAATGGTGGAACATAGTTAAAAATACGAAAATTGTAAGCGTCGCGTTACTCCGGCGCACAGTGCAGTGCCATTCCGCGTTGCGGGTGTTCGGTGTGACTTTAATAGCACATATGTACGTCTGCAATTAGCCTATAATATGTATACTTTTTAATTTTTATAGTTTCCAGAGTTTACCACGTGGAGGTTGCAGTACGGTTTTAAACTCCTTATCGGGGTGCTTTTTTAACGTGAGTCCCCTCGCCTCTCACTATATTTCCGTAAAATCGGGGTGCTTTTTTAACGTGAGTTCCCTCGCCTCTCACTACGTTTCCGTAAAATCGGGGTGCTTTTTTAACGTGAGTCCCCTCGCCTCTCACTACGTTTCCGTAAAATCAGGGTGCTTTTTGAATGTAAGACCCCTCGCCTCT